TAAGAAGCATGAATTATCATTTTTATCGTGCATGATTGTAAACTGTTGTCGCTTGCGGTCGTTTCCAAAAATTGATTCTATTTTTCCAAAAATAGTTATTGTTTATCAGGGTTTGGTCCCATACAGGGGGTTTAGAGTTGGTTAAATGCATTGTTACAATTGTAAATGGTAGTACATGTAATAGTAATAGTCGATGTTAAAGTGAACTTCAAAATAAGTATACAACACGTGTGTTTAATTAAGATAACGCGCTCGTTTTATTCAGATTATGGTCCGGAAGTACTATATTTATTATTCTGCGAAATTGATTGTCATGTGGACTTTCCGGTTGTCAAGTCACATGACTGGTTATAATAAATAACCAATTAAAAAATTTATTGCTTCGAACTCACAATGGTTCACCATTTCCTAGTTGTGTTTCAATATAAATAGATAAAAATATATAACAAAATAAAATACATCTCTTATAAATAAAATATAATCATGAATTTACTCTTTTATTCCATATAATTAAAATTATTATGATATATATTTCCATTAAAAAAGATCTCAAATTATATTCTTCTTAAAAAAGAATATTCTTTCTATTATATTGCAAACTGCACAAATATTTTCCAATTCTCTGTTATAAGAATAAAGTAAAAAGATACTTATAATATCTTTAATGATTTATCAAAAACTAAATCATTTTAAAATTTTTACTAATTATAAAGAATGAAATATTATATATTTAACTGCAATATTCATTCAAAAAAAAAACTAAAATCTAAAAATAAAATTGAAGTATAATAAAACAAACTTTATATTATAATAATCTTCATGAATTAAGTAAAAAAATTATATTTTAAAAAAATATTGGATTAATATTTAAATTTTACAAAAAAATATTATTATTACATTATCAATAATTAAAGCAAAGCTATCTGATTTAATAAATCAAAATTATAATTTTTAATTTGAATAAATGTGTGAATACTACTAAAAATATAATAATAAATTTCTGAAAAAGCATTATATGAAACTTATAATAAAATTCAAAAATGAAAATATAATAATTTGAAATTGCTTTAGTTATTTTAATATCAGTAATATTATATACATTTATAATTATATAAATAAGAAATTATATTATAAAATCTTTAATAAGATAATAATTTAAAATATATAACAAAATTTATATATGATTAATTAATAATAATAATATTTATTTACTTAATTAGCCCATTCAATTATTTAATCTTAATCTAATTGGAATGAAATAGATTATTATTTGAGAAAAATATTGATTAATATTCATATTTAAGATTAACTTTAGTATATAATGCAAAAAATTAGATTGAAATTGATAATATATTTTTGATGAAGTTAATTGAAGTATAAAAAAATATATTCAAGATATTATTAATGTAAAGGATAGATATATTAGATAATAATTAATATTAAATTAAAATTTATTTAGTTTATTGTGTAATTTCAAGTTTTATTTTTATTTACCAAAATAATCAAAAGAAACAGATCACTATAATTTATAATAAATGTAACTTGACGCTTTATCTATATATAAAGATTAAAATGTGCCTATTTATATATTGATCAATATTGTATATGAAACATTACTATATCATGAAATTTATCATCTGAATGATGCAATACTTTTGGGCATCGAATATTATAAATTGAGTTTAAAATGAAACCTTAGATATTAAAAAATACCTCTCATCCTGCATATATATTGAATTAATTAGGTTAGTATAAAATTGAAAACAATGTAATAAGATATAATATCTTTATTAAATAATTATTTATTCAGTTTAGCAAAGTATGAATTCTGACATATTTGATATCTTGAAAAAATTATTATTTATATCAATTGAATCTGTCTTATTTTAATAGAAGTTCTTATTTGTTCGCAAATTAAAATCATAATGTAGAACTTTAGTTAATTACAAGCCTTGTGGTTAAATTAAGGGTACTAATTTTTATATATACGGGGAAAGATACTACACAGAGTGCTTTATGATACCTTGAGTACGTCTGGAAAGCAATAAAATTCTTTTTGTTTTGTATTACGGTGCAGGAAACGCTTACTATTTACTGTATAGAAAGACTGATTGAATCCTAGTGCTAGCTGAAGGAGTAACGAAAAATTTGGTATTTTTCATTTAAGAGATGTTTTTATTTCTAGTTAAACGATGTCTGCCTTCTTAAAAGTTACTTATAATATTTTTGTGATTTTCATATTATTGAAATAATATTAGTATTGAGATTGTATTGAAGTGTTAATGAACAAGAGCATTATGAAAAATTATAATCAATGTATTGCTATCTGTATACATTTCTGTTCCTTATGTCTTCTATATGAGCGAAAATCAAAACAACTATTCACTATGAATATCTTTACTAAACTTTAATCTTTTACTTGACTTGTACATTCCTATAAAGTTAAGATGTACCTTTTGACTTATTTCTGCATTTGAAATTCTAGCAAAAGGAGACCACAAATGATCATTTTCAATAATTAAGTATTCATGTCTATGTTCATCATCTGGTAACTCCACTTTAAACTCACATTTTACGTTGTTAATAACAATTACACCACCTTCACGTAAATAAAAAAAATCAGCACAAGTGATTTCTGTCGTACTTGTCTGAATGAAAAGATCACCCAGGAATTTCTTTAACGATTTAAAAAGGATTTTCGAAAAATTTCCACCAAGTTGTATCTTGTTATCGACTTTTTTGAGTTCGTTTAGCTGATCAATTATCCAGAGACGGGGATTATTATCAATCATGAGATTTCCGCCGATATGATTGAGTGATGGGAATGAAATTGATTCAAGTTGCGGATTTAATGTTATTGTGAGTGATCCTAAAATTTGGTCCAGATTGGGAATTGATAGCCTCGTAATTGTATTCTCGGTAAATGTTAATGAGGATGAAGCTCTTTTAAGAAGCGGAAGAGAAAGGGTATCGATATTTTGAAATAGGCTTTCACCAAGTGCTGCTAAATTATGTGCCTGCAAATATTGTCAAATTATATTAATCGAAATTAAAGAGATATTGCTCTTTTTGAAGATTATTATTACCTCAAAGGTAAAATCAGATTTTCCATTTTTATAGATTCGGATTAAATTAACGGAGTGTAATTTAGGCAATGATACACGATCCAAATTAATATTATTCAGTAACTCCAAAGTATTCATTGCGACGACATTAAGTCCAATAATTTCATTAATTCCTGTTCTCTTAACACGAAAATTCCTTGCTTCAAGCAAACCACGAGGGAAAAGTAAAATCTTCAAAAGCGGCGCGTTTTCTATTTCAAATGACTTTGTAGTTATTCTTAATTTAGGCAAGCTAACCGTAGTCAAATTCAAATTTCCTACAGAAATGAAATTAGTTGTACTTTTTAGAGCAAACGCAGAAATTTCGACGAGTTTTGTGTTATTTTTTATGTTGAATGACCCATGTAGGGTTTTGATATGTGGGATTATGACCCTTGTAAGGGTAGTTTCAGAAATATCGATGGTGCCTGAATAAAAGTTACAATTTTCTAGTATGTCTAGGTCGTGCTGGGTGTTTATTTTGATATCACCCGTGCAATTATTTGATTTTGCTATTTCATGGTTGTAAATGAAGATATAAATTCACATCTGAATATTTAAAGTAAACTAATGAGAAGTGAATTGAATTCTGATTTCACTTACTTTGTGTAAAAAAATTAAATGTAATAAACGTGAATAAAAATAAGATATGCTTCGTATTAGCTCTTATTTCCGAAGTTTTCATTGTTTTCATTATTTGAGCGTATGAAAGTTTAGAACGTTTGAATTTAAATTTCTTTTTATTTTATAGATAAAATTATTATTTTTCTATTTTATCAATTCATCAAAAGTAATATAATTTTCAATTTGATTAATTAGACTGTTTACAACTGTATATATTATATTAACATACGCACACATTCAAAAAAATATACATAAGCATGGTAAATAAAAAAATTGATGATTACGTACAACTTGCAAATAATAATAAATAATAATTTTTAAGATAAATAATGAAAACTCACAATATTTTTCAATTTACATGTATAAACTTTCTTTTGATTTTTTATTTTAGCTCTTTAATTAACTGCATGCACGGTAAATATCTATGTTTCTTATCTCGGAATTTATTTCTAATAAAGTTAAGTAAGCTTTTGACTTTCATAGCTCAATTTACTGGATGTAACGGTCTTTTACAAGTCCAAACACAAGCCGATCTTGAAAGTCTACGCGATTGTTCAACATTTACTGGGACCATATCTATCTCAAACACAAATCTTCAGTCACTCACCATCCCTTACATTCAAAATCTTCGTGGAAATATCGAAATTCAAAGCAACCCTCTCCTTGCTAATCTTTCATGCCCATACTTAAAAAACGCTACGAATATCGTTGTGAACAATAATCAGGGTTTGCAATCCGTACAATTTCCATCATTAATCGCCGCTTCAACATTTAATCTGAATAATTCACCGTTGTTGGGTTCGTTGTTCTTTCCTGCTCGTTTAACTCATGTCAATAATATTGAGGTAACAAATACTGGAATCAGAAATCTAGATGGGGTCAGTGAAGTCGCGATCAATAGTTTGACGCTGGAGAATAATGCAAATTTGAGGCAAGCGAATATTCCGGTACTTAGACGTGCTGGCACGATTAACGTTTCTGGAAATGGAGGGAGTTCTTTTTTATTTTTGGTAAGAATTATTTCTTCTGGTGCATCATTTCAAAAAAAAGCCTAATATTTGTTAATGATTGATTTAGGCTCAGAATTTGGTTGAAATCGGACAAGCGACAATCCGAAATACGGCATCCATGGATTTTGCGCATTTAACTAAAGTCAACTCGAATATGAAATTAGAACACAACAATTTCGAATCGCTTTCAATTCCAAATCTTGAAACTATTGGTGGCACTTTAAATATTGCTTCAAATACCCAACTTCGATCAATCTCATTGCCAAAGCTCAACGAACTTGGTTCCTTAGTAATAACCGAAAACACATGTCTCAACAAAATCGATGGTTTTCAAAATCTCGGGCGCGTTCATAAGATAATTGACATTACTGGCAACTATTCAGCCGTTTCGTTTCCGTCGTTGAAAAACGTTGATGGTGGATTCAACAGTCAATCGAGATCTGTAGATTTTGATTGCAATAGTTTGAATGCATTACGAGTAAATATTGACGAAAAGAAATTCTATTGCCAATCTGGAGTATATGATCCAAGACCGAGGCCAGAATTTATGGATGATATCTTAAATAAAGAATCTTCTTCGAATTTTCCAAAGACTAAAAATAATAATCGCAGTGATAGCAGTGCCCCTATCAATACAATAGTAAATAGTGCCGCAACAAAGTTGTCTACATGTATATCAAATTCTGCTATATTATTGTTTATTTCTTATTTTTATTGAAATTTTTTAGATTACACTTATTTTAGTTATTTACTAAGGATACTAATATCTTTTTAATACTCAATATATACATGCATATGTACGTTGGATAAATATTTAAATAAAAGATACAATAGGAGGATAAATCTGCAAAGTAAGTGCAGTTATTTAGTCTCATAGTTTTTATACATGTTATATTAAATGCTTACTACTAAATTTGAATATTATTAATTGAGATTCTAATAACATAAATGAATATTTAGATTATAATCTATAATTTTAATACCGATGTTAAACTAAGTAAAGCAATTTTGGGAATACATCTATGAGAATAATTTTTTTACTGCATGTTCAGCAGCAGCTCCCGTTAAACCATACTTTGCATTTTGATATCATACCCGGCCACTATACATTTATTTAATTAACGTTTTGTTTATTATTTAATTCGAGATCACTCCATAATTCATTATTACATGTACTTGATTCCCATTACTTTTCACTTCGGAGTTAGTTTGTTTTCGATAGGTAAGTCGCGTTTATTCTCGATTCTGGTTTCAACTAATGAATTTTTTATTTTTTTATTTTTTTCAATTTTTTAAATGATTGCACGTTTGCTGGGTCTTGTACGAACGAATGACACTACGATAACGAGATTGCAGATCTATTATTTCATATTAATATGATCTACATTCACAAATTGTGCACTGTAAAAGTTAAAATAATAGATGCATGTAAAATATGCATCAATCGTTTATTGGGAAAGACATAAAGGGAGGGAGGAGAAAAGAGTATATATTAAAGGAAAAAAATCTAATTGCCAGTGAAATTTTTAATGCCAGCCTAAGGCATTCCTAGAAAGAAAATGTCTTTATTAATTTAATTTTAAAAAGAAAAATAATACATGTATGCTGAAACTCGGAAACATACAAATAATTTAAAAATTATGGTATATTTTAGTTATGCTTTTTGGCATGAAGTGATCCTCATAAGTAACGGACCCCCTGATAACTTTACAAAAATCATGTATAATGTTATGAAACTTTCCGTACACAAAGAGCAACGCAAATACTGATCATCTATGCCTTTTTACAGGGGGTGATAAACTTATATTGGGCATTGGGGATGTTCGTCAAATATCTACGCCGAAATACAATGAATATGAATCGCCACTTTATAATGCAATATCGATATCTTGATCCAATTCAAGCGAATGTACTGCCATTTGAATTATCTTATCGTTATCAAAACAATCAATATTCACTTGATCCTAAGTGATGATTCATTTTTGTTAATCATTAGAAATGATCGTCAAAAAAATGAATCGATATTCATAGTGATCCTATTTAAGGGAAATACTACATTTTGAATAGATAATGAATAATAGCAGTATTTCCACTAACATCAAATTGATGTTGGAATATTGCATCATAAAGTGAAAGATTCATTTTTTTTTTGATATCAAAAAAATTAATCGATCATTTTAGGGCGTAATATCTTTGACATCCAGTGATCAGTTCGAACAAAAATATTACATGTACCATTTATTTGTCTCAACTAGATGAAATTGATCACTGAATGTCAAGAATCGGATCACTGAACATCAAGATATGTGACCGATTATATTTGAAACGTATGGTGAGCATTCAATGCCTAATATAGAAGTTTTATCAACTTATAAAGGTATAGATGATCAGTATTTGTGTTGCTTGGAAACTTTCACATGATTTTTTGGAAAGTTGACAGAGGTACAGAGGTCCATTATTTACAGTGGCGATCAAATGTTTTGCATCACCTCGATCACAAAAAAGAAATCGTGATATCTCGCGATCTATAGATAGTAAAGTACAAAAAAAATAAACGATTCGAAAGTAC